CCTGCAAAAGAAGAGGAAAAGAAGCAAAAAAAACTAAGAGGACACAGATTTGGGTGAGGAAACTGAAGGAACTCCAATCAACCATAAGCCAAAGAACGCATAACACGCAAGGTGTGTGGTATCTCTATACAAATATATACATATTTATTATATATCTACACTCACCCACAGCTAAAAGAGCAAATGACTGGCAGTAAATCCCCTCTTTGCGATTCATCCAAGAGTGTCTGGCAGCACCGCAAGCCCTCTGGTGAGCAGGTGTGGACGTATGCCCACAACCCGTACAGCAACAGCGCCCAGAACATCAGCAGCGCCAGCAGCGATAGCAGCAACAAGAGTAATAACGGCAACAACAGTCGCCCAGCGCAGAAGCCAAATGTCTGCCGGCACTACGCCGAGGGCCGCTGCAATCGCGGGAGCACCTGCCGCTTCTACCACGACGTGCGGCACACTGTCATTATCGCCACGCCGCACTCCACCCCGCGGCCGCAGCCCCTCTCGCCCCTCACCGGCCTCCCCGCCACGCCCCTGCGGAAGTCCCTCAACAGCACTCTGAGCAGCAGTGTGAATGGCAGCAGTGTGAACAGTGCTGGCGGCAGTGACTGTGGGTTCAGCAGCCGCGCCAATGACTACACCTCGCCGTATTTGTCGTGGCAGCGGGTCGTCGCCGCTCCGCTCGCGTGAATATACACTAGGCTGACATTTAGGGTGTTTTTCCTGTTTTTTTTTTTTTTTTCTTTTTTCTTTCCCCCTCCTTTTTTTTTGTCGGTTTGTTTTTTTTTTTCTCATTTCGATTTGTTTTGTTTTTCTTTTTTCTTTTTTTTTTTTTACGCAATTGAGGTTGTGGGAAAAACAGTGAAGACAAAGAGAACGGAGGCCCAAGAGACGTGAAAGGGAAATTTAAAAGGAGGGGAGTACAAGGAAAGGAGAGTAACTCTGTGTTGTCGATGTGAGTGCCTAACAGAAGAAGGTACAAACTCCCGTAAAGAAAAGAGAAATAAAAATAAAAAGCTGATGAAAAAAGGAAGGGGTAAAAGGTGAACAAAATGAGAAATATATTCTGAGAGAATATATTTTCCTCTTTATTATTATTATTATTATTATTATTATTATTATTATTCTGTGTGCTCTGCCATACTAGGTTTCTCCGTCGATCTCTTTGTCTGTTGATGTTGATGTTGATGTTGATGATGTTTTTTGTACGTAGCTCCATTTGTTAATTTGGTTCTGT